AAGCTCGCCCATCGCACACCCCGTGATGGTCGTGCCGTAGCCGATGCTTGGGCGCAGCCCCGTCTTCACCGCCCTCCTCGTGGCAAACCTCTTGGCCTTCACCATTTTGAGCACCTTGAACTTCATCAGCCTTTGCCCAGCCTGCTGGAAGCGTCCCGCGCGCACCGCGCGCCCCAGCCTCTTGCCCCCGCTGAAGTCGACCCCGCTCTTGCGCAGCCTCTTCTCCAGCTCTTGCCTCGCCTCAGGGACGTTGGCGAGCGCCCTGGACTTCTTGACCGCAACCGCCAAGTCGACCTCGCCGAGCAGGACTTTGAGATGTCTGGCCGCCGTCGTGATGTCCCCGACGACGCGCTGCAGGCCTCCAACCCTCCTTACGATGATGTCATCCACAACCACCGAGAGGGCCACCGAGGGTACAAGCGCCTGCAGCCTGTCCAGCGGCTCCGACAGCAGCATCTTGAGCATGAGCGTCGCCAGCCCATCTCCTGGCAGCACGGCCTGCTCCGTGTAGATGGCGTTGCTGACAGCCTCGTCGCGCGCCAGCCACCTGGCCGACCTATACAGGCTGATCTGCAGCTTGAGCTGCCACAAAGGAAACCCTGTCCTCCTCGCAGCGCGTATGAGGTGCCCGTGCTGCACCTGCTCGTACGCCTTGAGCAGGTCCAGGAGCACGAGCGCGGCAACCCAGCAGGAGGCGTCGCCCGCTTCACGCCCCTTGGCCGATGCCCACTCGCACTCCACCGCCTGCTGCCAGACCGCCCTCTCACAGCCTCTCCCTCTGGACGCCCAGAAGAAGGGCCGATCGTTCCTGCGCTCCCACTCCACCGCCGCTGGCCTTCGCAGCCCCGTCTGAATCCTCGCGAGGACGTGGACGATGGCCACCGGCCTCACTCCTCCCAACCTCTTGGCCAGGAACACGATCTTGTTGTTCAGCTGCGGCCACTCCGCCGCCTGCTCGACCGCCATCACGACTTCATTGAGCGTCTCTAGGCCCTCGTCGCTGAGCTCCAGAAGCTGCCGCGGCTTGACCGCCTCGAAGCCCGCCGCGGTGCCCAACCTGAACGTTCGCAGCACCGCCCTCATCTCCTCAACCGAAGGCCTGCCAGGCCTCTCACCCAGGTCGTCTGGCCACACCAGATCTTCATGGGCGCACTGCACTCGCCAGAGCTTGCCCCACTCCAGCTCGAGCGCGTCCAGCTCCTGGCATAGGCTGCTGGGCCCTGCGGCGGAACTGCAGTCACTGCCCTGCCAGCCCACGGCCACCCTGGTGACCGCATGCAGCCCTCCTGCTCCTCCCTTCAGCTGCTTGTCGACCCACTCATCAAACCGTCTGCCGCGCTCGTCGATGTCTCGCTTGGCCAGCTGGTGGGCGTGCATCTTGGCCAGCCTGGCCAGGCCCATGAGATCCACGGGGTCCCAGCGCGCAAGTCCCGCGTGCTGCAGCACCCGCAGCCACCTGCCCGCCTCCGTGCTGTCGTGGCTGCCTCTTTGCCCGCTGCCGTTACTGTCCGGACCCTCCATCTCGGCCTGCCCCTGCCACTGCCTGACCCTCTGAGGCACCAGCTCCGCCAGCTTGGGCAGGAAGTCGATCGCATCGATCCTACCTCGGGGCGCCTGGACCCTCGCAGCGGCCTCCAGCGTGCTGGGGACTCTCGCCAGCTGGGAACTCTCGCCATCCACGCCGCCTCTGGCGTGTGCCGCGGCGCCCGCGGCTCCTGAATCCCGCTGCGCCGCACCTTCTTGGTGGAGAAGCCCTGCGCCCTGCCCACGTACCTGGCCCTCTGCTCCTCCAGCTGGTACACGTCCAGCCACCCCTCCTCTGCGCACCCCAGGAAGGTGGCAAAGGCGGAGGTGAGGGCGTCCTTGGCGCCAGCGCCGTCACGCCCCGCCTCGCCTGCTCTACCGCCCTGCATCTCCTCCTCCACCTCCTCGAGCCACGTCGGGAGGGAAGCGGGCTTCTCTCCCCAGAGGCTGGGGGGCCTCACGTACGCTCCTTCAGCCGCTTCAACTTGAAAGGGTCTACCCGCGATTCCATGCGGTGCCTGACTCGGATACGTACTGCCAGTCCCAGCATGGGGACGTAGTCCAGGGCTGCCTCCATGCTCCTCCTGCGTCGCCACCTCCTCGAGCCCACGCTGCGTCCCGCAGATCTGCAGCGCGTCGTGCCGAGCCGCTCCGTGCTGCATGCAGCACTTGCCCAGGCTGCCTCCTGAGACCTTGGCGGCCAACGCGGGCGGAGGCGGCAGCGCGCTGCTGAGGGGGCCCCACCTCGCCCGCTGGTCCTCCTGTTTTTTTTGAGGATGCCGTCGGCAGCGCCTCGGGGCCACCACCTTCCCACTGCACGCTGCTGCTGGCCTGACTCACCAAGCTTGTCTGCAACGCGTGGTTTTTCGGGGATGCCATCGGCAGCGCCTCGAGGCCACCACCTTCCCACGTCGCCTGGCCGCGGCCCTGCCTGCTGGCCGTCGGCGTCGACCAGCATGGGTGCCACCTCTGCGCGGTCAGCGTCCGCCACAGCCTCCTGTGGTCTTTCGAGGATGCCAGCGGCAGCGCCTCGGGGCCACCACCTTCTCCCTGCGCTCGCCCTCATGCGCGCCTCCTCCGTCACACGTTGTTTTCCGAGGATGCCGTTGGCAGCGCCTCGGGGCGACCACCTTCCCTTCTCGCTCGGGCTTACCTCAGCCTCGGCGCTATCCTCTGGCGGCCTCTCCTGCTTGCCTGCCGCTGCGGCAAGGACTGGTTCCAGCTGCTCCCTCGCCCGCCTCCTCGCCCGCACCCATTTGCTGCGGTGGCCCCTCGTGCAGCAACCGTGCGGCCTGACCTCAGGGAAGGCCCGAGGCCCCTGCACCACCCTCATGGCGCCCTTCACGCACTGCTTGGCGATCTCGACAATGACTGGCGCGTGCGGGTACACGGGTGAGCCCGCCACCGCCTGGACTCCCCGCGCGAGCAGCCCGCGTGACACCAGGAAGTAGTCGATGACCCGCCCCGACGCCATACAGGTGGGCCCAGCAGGTCTGATCACAGACGCGTCGAACATGGCCAGCACCCCGCCAGCCTGTAGCTCCTCCTCGCTGAGGTTCCAATCTCCGCCAACGACGTACTCTCTGCGGCACTGTCGGAGCCTCGCTAGTTGCTTGAGACTCGACAAGTTGCTGAGGCTGAGGCCCACCCCCGCTTCCAGGTGCAGGTTGGCCAGGAGAAAACCTCCTTCGCATACGCCCGACACCCAGTGCACATGAACCCTGCCGTCCACCACCACCGCAGCTAGGTGATCCTGGACCTCCGCCATCCCGTGGCAGCGCCGCGCCATGGTGATGAGCCCTCCTGTGCTGAGCCCCCCTGACTCAGCGCGCACCGCTGGCGAGCTCCTCGCCCTCCAACCTTGGCTACGAAGCTGAGCCCCAGCATCTCCACTCCGTCCCTCCAAGAGCCTGGTCTCCTGCACCAGGATGGCGTCGCAGTCCTGCACCTCCTGCGCCGTCAAGCACTTGCCCAGGCTGATGAACGCATTGGCGTTAACCGTGCAGATCCGCCAGACGCCAAGCCCCTTGCTGGGACTCTGCGTCCATCTCCTCGTCCCCCGTGCGCATCTTCTTGGCCTCGTTGATGAGGGCCTCCGCCGCCTTCCCTTGTCAGGGTCCACGAACTGCTCCTCAAGCTCCTTCCAGGCCTGCTGCACCTCAGGGGAGGGCTGCTGAGGCCGAGGCTCAGCCCCAGCAGCCTGCCTAGCCGCAGCCCCTGCCCTTGTGGCTGCAGCAGCGCCCGCCGCCGCAGGAAGAGGCTGCGCTGGATCCGGCTCTCCAGACCTCTCTCCTGCGGCCTTGCTCTTCCACTCGAACAGCCTCTCGGCCGCCTCGGACAGCTTGACGAACTCGTCGCTGAGCACTGGGCTCGCCGCCACCCCGCTGGACTTGGCCCAGCCCGCGAGGGCCGCCTTGACCTCCTGCAGGGATGCAGGGGCAGCAGACGCTGCAGTAGCCGCCTCCGCTGCCACCGCGGCCTCCGCCAGCCTGGCACCCTGAGCCGCCGACGCCTCACGCGCCCTGGCGGCCGCCTCCGCCAGCTCCTGCCGCAGCTGCACCAGCTTCTCCGTGAGGTCCGCCGTCTCGTTGATGGCCGCCCGCGCCTTCGCCCTGGCCAGCTCCAGCAAGTGCTCGGTCCGCTTGACCTTCTGCGCCTTCTCGTCCGCCAGCAGCCGGGCCGCCTTGACGGCCTTGTCCTTGGACAGGTCGTCGCCCAGCCCCTCGCGCACCAAGCGCCTGGCCTGCTGGAGCTCGTTCCTGATCTTCGCGCTGAAGAGCTTGGTCGCAATGGCGAACTGCACGTCCGACATGTTGACGAGCTCTCGGCGCTCATCGTCACTGAGCACCACCCCCGCAGCGCGCTGACCTCCGTCTCCACCCTCGTCACCTCGCCACCACGGCGCACGGGTCGCAGGCGTGCCAGTTGCGGCACGCCCACCACGCCCGCCACCGCCAGCGCCAGGAGCACCGCCACCACCCGAAGCCCCCTGCGGGAGGAAGCTGCCCAGGACTCTCTGCGACGGCTTGCCTCCCTGGCACCCAAAGCGGCAGCACCTGCGCTCGGCGAAGTTGTAGTAGTAGCGCGCCTGGCAGACCCATCCCACAGGTCCGTCCGAGCGTCCTCCTCCACGACCCTGTCCCGCACCGCTGCGCCCCATCGCGCGCGCGAGACTGGAGGAAAGGCGCCCGACTGCCAGAGCACAAAGACTCTTGCCTGCCGCGGACTCGCGGTATCCGTTCGATCCCCGCGGGAACCCGGCATCTTGAGCCAAAATGACTACGGAGGAGGAGGAGGAGGAGGAGGAGGAGGAGGAGGAGGAGGGAGGAGGGGGGAGGGGGGAGGGAGGAGGGAGAAGAGAGGAGGGAGGAGGGAGAAGGGAGCAGGGAGGAATGAGGAGGGAGCAGGGAGGAGGGAGGAGGAGCGAGGAGGGGCCCCTGCCGCCCCTCTGTTCGCGGCTTGCCTGGGCGGCGGAGGATGCCACCAGGGGCGCCAGTTTGCGCACTGCGACGATCGACGCAGGCCGGCCCAGGGGCTGCCGTGCGGCGCCGCGCCGCTCCTCCGATCAGCATGTCGCCCGCCCCTCGGAGGGGCTTGACGTATACACCACGTCGTTTGGTCAGCCAGGGAGTCGAGGAGTTCAGCGAAAAAGCTCGGTGCAAAAGCGCTCCAGCATCCCACGGGCTGGTGAACTAGGGCGTCTATTATACACAGTGCGCCTTGGGCGTCCAAGCGACGTTTTGTATACATCGAGCCCCTCCCAGCTCCTCCCGCCATTTCCTCTCTCTCTCTCTCTCTCTCTCCCTCTTCCCTTCTCCAGACATGGTCACTCTGTAAAAGAGTACGACGGGGGGGTTTTGCCGTTTTCGACCCCTGGGGACCCTCGCCGGGCCCTGGGACCGTCAAACATCGAATCGAGGCGCGATGAAAAACCAACCCTGGGGAACTGGGCCGGACTTCCTGGGACTCCGTATTAAATTATCTGGGCGAAGGACCCAACCATATGCAGTTGTGAGTACCATCGTTGCGGGTATCGCATCTGGGGCATCTCTTCATGGAGCCGTGAAGCATGCGAAGGGTGTGCCGATGTGGGGCGGAGCCGCCATGCGGGCGCTGCCACTGGTGCTTTCGGCGGAACCCACCACAGGGCCACGAAATGTGCGAGGGGTGCGCCGCAATGCTGCGGGGCCACCACTGGGGCCTTCGATGGAGCTCCCTGCGGGGCAACGAAGCGCTGTACGGGGTTGGGGGAAACGCATGAGAACACCGCCACTGGGGCCGTCGGTGGAGCTCGCTATGGGACCACGAAGCGCTGTACTGGGCGGGGGGAACGCATGCGAACACCGCCGCCGGCGCCTCGGAGGAGCTCCCTCTTGGGCCACGAAACGTCATACTTGGTGGGGGAACCGCATGCGAACGCCGCCACTGGGGCCTTAACACCAAGGCTCCCAACAGCGAGCGGTGATGCAAAAAGCTCTGAACACCAAGGCTCCCAAGAGCGAACGGTGCCATTAGCGATCCCGGGCAAGTTTCTGAAGCGTTTTTTCCATTCCCGTGCCAGCCCAGGTCTACCCCGTTTGTGGCCCCTTGCGCTGGCGAATTCCAGCACTGTTGCACATATAGAGTCGTTGTTATCTTCAGAAGGCGCTTCGCGCTCCAGCGCCACTGACATTCGTCGCAAATGTGACTCAGCAACTGCACTGATGGAGGGCGGTTCCCCATTCAGAATGCGCCGCTCGTTCTCACCTTATCACTCAACGTGTGAAGCCATGCCTAACCGTGCAAGACAGCTGCACGGGAAAGAGCGTTCCTCTGAAATGGAGGTACCGCTCGAGGCTTTCTCTGATGTGGTTAATCTCCAGACCAGGTTGCTTGTTTGACGCTTCCTTCAGCTGTATGAGTAAACTTGGTGATATACTCCAGATTTCGTAATAAAAGGGAGGGGGTCTCATTTCGGGGGGGGGTCTCTTCCAGGCTATCTTGGAGGGCCTGGGGTGGTCTGGGGACGATGTTTTGGAGGGTTCTCCCACGGGAGAGGTCTGAAATAGCTTGTCTTGGAGGGTCCAGACCCCCTCCCTTTTATTACGAGATCTGGGGTAAACTTGGTGATGTAACGTTCAGCTGGAGGCATGCAGGGCAGGTCCCTTTCATTGAAAAAACGGGGCCCTCGCCGGAAAAAAATGGGCCCGCTGGGCACCCGTATTCCAAGGGGGGGCATTTCCCGCAACGACAATCGATGCTTGCAGGGACCTGCAAGGAGCCTCCTCCTCCTCCTCCTCCTCCTCCGACGGGAAGGTGTACAGCTGCGCCAATCATAAAGAAAAGTCTCCTCGCTCATCTGGGCCAGCATCTCTCCAGCGACATCTCAGGAGGCCAGTCCAGCAAGCCCCCATGCGAATCCGCGGGGCTGTGCGCGCGAGACTGGCCCAGAGGTTGCCCAAGATATTGCCGCAAGGCTGGCCCAGGTTTCTAAGGCGGATCGTCTCTTGATCACCGCCCTGGCTGTAGCGCAGCATAGTTGGCGCATCCTGGGTTTACCCGTTGTCCTCCTCCTCCCAAGCCTTCTCTTGCGCAGCGTGGCAGCACGGCGCGGCCAGCACAGCATGGCGCCAAGGCAGACTATGAAGGCAACCATGATGATTCGTATCATGGAGGTCACAGTCAAACGCATCATAAGAATGATCAGTTCTCCAAGGATATGTTTGCATCCTTGCCTCTCGGCCAATCAGAACCCGCAGACATGGGTTATGGGCTTTCCGCTTCGGTATTTGCGGTCTTTCCTTTCAAGTGAAATGAAGGCTTCGTCGATTTTTCTGACGGTGTCGGCAATGAACGCTGTCATCAGTTCCCGTGTCGACTACGGCTCACATGGTGTTCACGATCGCCATGGGCAGAATCACCATTGCCAGAAGCCACACGTGGTAGGGAATGCTCTCAAGCAGCAGAGCTGCGCAACACTTCACGTCTCTTCCTTCCTTCAATTCTTCCCTCCATCCCTCCTTGTGCCCTCTCTTGCATTGTTTCGGATCAAGTTTGCACGGAGTCTTTCGTGGACCTCACCGTGCGCTGCACCAGCTGTGGTGCTTGGGGTGGCCAAGGCCCCGAGAACCGGCCGGCGTCGCCGATGGCTGCGCGTGCCACGTTTGCCGTGGCGTCCTTTGTGCTGTTCGCGACCGTGTGGCTGTTCCTCGACTCGGGCACTGTGGACGGCTTTGTGGCACAGGAGGGAAGGAGCAATTCCCAACACCACGAGCAGGGGATGGGTTGGCCATTATCAGAGTGAGGGGGCCGAACGGTCATGCATTGCTCCTGGGCCCGTGGCTTACGTGTGAGTCCGCGGCCTGGGTTTTGCTTGTCTGTTGTTGTTGGTGGTGTTGGTGTTGTTGTTAGTGGTGTTGTTGTTGGTGGTGGTTGTGTTGTTTGTCATTGTTGTTATTGTTGTTGTTGATGTTGTTGGTGTTGATGTTGTTGTCGACGAAACCACTCACTGGCGCCCGCCCCAACCCTCCCCACCAGGCGCAACGCAACGCAACGCAACGCAACGCACGTTACCCCGAATCCTATAGGATTCTTATGGGAATCCTATAGCGTCTCTGCGAACCTTAAAGGGGTCCTATCAGAATCTTACAGGAATCCTATAGGTCCTCCCTACGAATCCTATTGGAACCCCATGGGGATCTCAAAGGAAGCCTGTAGGGCCTTTACGAAAATTATGGGAATCCCATCGGAATCCGATGGGAATCCTATAGGGCCTTTACGAACCCGATAGGAAGCCCATAGGAAGCCTGTAGGAAACCTATACGGCCTTTGGGAAACCTGCGGGAATCCCATGGAATCCTATAGCATCTCTCAGGGATCATATAGCACCCCGTAAGGGTTCTATAGCATCCATTTGCAAATTCTATAGCATCCCCTGAAGGATTCTATAGCACCCCCTTAGGGATTCTATAGCATCCCTTTACAGGATTCTATAGCATTCCTTAGGGATTCTATCGCATCCCTTATGGGTTCTATAGCATCCCTCAGGGATTCTATAGCAAGCCTGAAGGATTCTATAGCACCCCTGAGGGATTCTATAGCATCCCTCAGGGATTCTACAGCATCGGATTCTATAGCACCCCCTTAAGGATTCGATTGTATCCCTTAGGGTTTCTATAGCATCCGTTTGGGATTCTATAGCATGCCTTATGGGTTTCGCAGCCTCCCCTTAAGGAATCTATCGCATCCCTTGAAGATTCCATGGCTTCCCTTATCGATTCTATAGCATCCCTCAGGGATTATATGGCATCCCTTAAGGCTTCTGCAGCCTTCCCTTAGGGATTCTGTAGCATCACTTAGCGACTCCGTAGCATCCCCTAGGGATTATATAGCAGCCCATGGGGTTTCTATAGCATCCCTTATGGATTCTAGAGCATCCCTCAGGGATTCTATAGCATCCCACAGGGATTCTATAGCATCCCCATTAAGGATCGTATGTCATCCCCTTAAGGATTCTTAAGCCTACCTTTAAATATTCTATAGCATCGCATTAGGGATTCTATAGCATCCCCTTCGGGATTATATAGCATCCCTTCGGGATTCACTTGCGTCCCTTAAGGATTCTATAGCACCCCTCAGGGATTCTATAGCATCCCCATTAAGGATCGCATGTCATCCCCTTAAGGATTTGTATGCCGACCTTTAAATATTTTATAGCATCCCATTAGGGATTCTATAGCACCCACTTAAGGATTCTATAGCATCCCCTTGAGGATTATATGGCGTCTCTTGGGGTATCTATAGCATCCCTCAAGACTATATAGCATCCCTTTGGGATTCTATGGCATCCCTGAGGAATTCTTTAGCATCCCTCAGGGATTCTGCAGCCTCCCTTAAGGATTCGATCGCATCCCTTTGAGGATTCTATCGCATCCCTTCGGGCTTCTACAGCATCCCTTTGAGATGTTATAGCATCCCTTGAAGATTCTATGGCATCCCTGAAGGATTCTATAGCCTCTCTCAGGGATTCTATAGCATCCCTTCTGCAGCCTCCCCTCAGGGAGTCTGTAGCACCCCCAAGGGATTCCATTTCACACCTTAGGAATTATATAGCACCCCGTTGGGATTATATAGCATTTCTTAGGGAGAATGTAGCTTCCCCTAGGGTTTATATAGCATCCCTTTCTATAGATTCTATAGCATCCCTCAGGGATTATACCGCACCCCTTCGGAATTCAATTTCATCCCTTAAGGATTCTATAACATCCCTCAGGGCTTCTATATCGTCCCTCGGGGATTCTATAGCATCCCCTTAGGGATTCCATGTCACCCCCTTAAGGCTTCCAAAACAGCATGCCCTTAAATATTCTATAGCATCCCCTTAGGGAGTCTATAGCATCCGTTTACGGATTGTATAGCATCCCCTTGAGGATTCTATGGCATCCTTTCTAGGGAATCTATCGCATCCCTTAAAAGTTATAGCATCCCGTTGGGATTCTATAGCATCCCTCAGGGATTCTATAGCATCCCTCTGGGATTCTACA